ACCTAACCCCAAAGCAAGCAGGCAGGAGGAGTAAAAGCAGCAGGAGAAATTCCCTGCAGGGCACATCACAGTACCAATCAAAATGGCGACCATAAAGGCCTGTCAGTCTAGCCTGGGAAAAGGATTGATTGGATTGGATAAGAGACACAGAATCCTGGAGATCTAGGAAACTGAGTGGTCAGGGGGAGGACCCAAAACCAGTCCGCGAAAGACTGGGAAGTTGATTGGTTAGTTTGAAAGAGCCCCTCCCTGGTCCTTCCCATGCCTAAGATAATTTGATCGGCCTAACAAAGGGGCTCTTGCTCTCCCACCCGCTCTCTCGGTAATAGGCACTCGCCCCATTCATTTGTGCATTCTCTCTCCATAGCAGCCATATGGGCCTAGCAGCTGCGGCCTGGCCTCAGGGACTCCACGTGCGGGCCTGGGCACAGGGCCCACCGCCAGCCACCCTAAGCAAAGCCAGGAACAGACTAAGCTCGCAGGTGGGGACAAAGGCTGAACTGGACTAGGCTTGAACATGGACTGAACTGAAGGCACAGAATTGCTGACACTGGCCCTATTCCTGGGCCTGATGAAGACAAGGCTGGACTTTTTCCATACTGGGATGGATGAAGATGGGACATCAGTAACCGGGGGGCAGTCATTTATTTCAACCCTTGATGAACCTTACCACTAAACCTTGTTCTCCTTGTGGACCCCTGGAAATGGGGACCTCACTTCTACCAGCAACAGTCCCATTGCTCTCATGCCTGAGTTCTGCTTCCCCTCCTCTGGGCTGCTTTTGTGGCCACATAGTACAGGGGAAATAGCACCATGTAATTTCTTATATTGCTAATAATGGTGGCCATTGTTTGGGTGGTTAGTATGTAACTCCTTGAGACCAACCTAGGAGGGCGTATCAGTATCATCCCCATTTTACAAATGAGGAAACTGAGGCTTGGGAAGGTTAAGTCACTTGCTCCCACAGCTAGCAAGTGGCAGTGTAGAATGAGACTCAGTTCTGATGGAATTGAAAATTCCCATATACTCTAGTGCCTCCAGAAAACACCTTTTTATCGTCTTGGTTTACTCATTTGTAAAATAAAGATATTAAATTCAAAACTTAACAGCGTTATAGACTGGATGATTGTGTCCCATTCCAAACTCATATGTTAGAGTCCTGACCCCAATGTGATGGCATTTGGAGATGGGGCTTTGGGGAGGGGATTAGGTTAGATAAAATCCCGAAGGGAGGTGCTCATAACGGGATAGGAGACCGTATAAGAAGAGGAAAAGAGACCAGAGCGTGCTTGCTCTCTCTCTCTCTCTCTTCTGCTCAACCTTGATCTTGGACTTCATTGTCTCTAAAACTCTGAGAAATAAATACCTGTTGTTTAAGCCCTCCAGCCTATGGTATTTTGTTATAACAGCCCGAGCTAAGACCAACAGTTAATTAAGCAAGCAATTCAACATTTCCTGGGTGCCTATTTGGCTTGAGGTCTATGTCCTCACGTCGTTCAGTCTGGAGTGACGAACACACAACATGCTTGGCAATGAATACACATGTACTAAGAGATGTTCTAGAATTATCCTGAGTGCTTTGTGACCATAGAGGAGAGGCGAGGACTGGACCAGAGTGTCCACTAGGATCTGACTCTATGATCCAGATTTAGGGATGCACTTAAAGAAGTAGGGATACCCAGTTGCCCAGGCCTCTATGCTCCAGCTTAAGAGCTTGGACTCTTCAGTCAGATGACCCAAGTTGGAAACTTGGCTCTTTGTGCCTCAGTTTCTTCATCTGTAAAATGGGCATGATGATAGTACCTACTTCACAGAGAAGCCAGTGCCTGGCTCATAGTAGGCATTCTAGTAAATATTAGATGTTATTGCAACAGAAGCAGGCTGGACCCTGGAACTATACCAGAACCATGTGTGGAGGAGAGAGGAAGAGGCCATAGAACTTGACTAATTCCTCCTCCCGGCGCCCTGGGCTTCAAAATGCTTTACTAGAATTTCCTTCACTGCAGAGAGTTCCTGGGCTCAGGAGCCAGAGAAAGAAAACTTTTTGATAGTTATGATTAAAGAACCATAGTAGCAAATATTTATGTAGCTTTTAGGTCCTCGTCTAAGCACTTTACACTCAATCCATGTAGACGTAGACGACGTGACAAAAGCCAGGTTCAGAGAAAAGATTTTGGAAAATGGATCTATTCTGCCTAAATCCTCTCGAGTCTCTCAGAGCTGCCTAAAGGTTTGTTTGTTTGTTTGTTTTTGTTTTTGTTTTTTTTCTCCTTCCCAAAGCAAATCTAGGGGTGTGGCTGAGTCAGCCTATTTGAGTGTATTTGCATGTTCGGGGGTGTGTAATGAAAGTCTGGAGCCTCTGGATGAATGATGGAATGATGGATGATCTGTTCTGCTTTGCTGTATCCAGAAGACAAACCAGGCCCACTCTCAGTAAGGAGGCTTTTGGCTCTGCACCCACCTTCATGGTCTGCAAGGGCCCACCAAGACCCTAGACAAGCCCTCCCTCGTCACAACAACATGCACACTCATGCTCACACACCCCCACTTAAACACATGTACACACACACTTAGACTCACACATGCTTTTCTGGGTTAAAATCACTTTCCTCTACAAGGGTGTCCAACCTTTTGGCATCTCTGGTCTACAGTGGAAGAATTGTCTTGGGCCACACATTAAATACACTACAACACATAATCACACACAAAAAAAATCTCATAACGTTTTAAGTGAATTTATGATTTTGTGTTGGGCCGCATTCACAGTCTTCCTGGGCTGCATGCGACCTGCAGGCTGCAGGTTGGACACCCCAGAACCTGCTCAGGCTCCAGCTGGGCTTTCTGCTGCTGGGTTGGGAGCATGGGGGACAGTAGAACTGTCGCTTGGATGGATGATGACCTCGGTTGGGTCATTTGGCCTGTGTAGGCCTCAATTTCCACGGTTATAATATAAAAGGTTTGGGCTGAACAGATTTCCAGGATTCTTCCTTCCAACTCTGTCCAACTCCAGCTCTGAGATCTCTAAGGTTGCTGGGTTGGAAGAGGTGTCAGCCCTCCGTGAAAGAGGGTGGGGCTGAGATGTGGGGATAGATGTCTGGAAGTTCTTTTTTTGGAGATTTTCTGTTACAACAGGAAACTATTGTGTGCCCAATACTATCACAACATCAACAATCACAGGGGCAGAAGTAGTAATAGTACTAACTCTCACTTTTCAAGAGCTTAGCATGTGTGTTAAGTATTTTACTTGCATGATTTCACTGAAGGTCCCCAAAACGTTTAGTAGGAAACATTATTATCCCCACTTTCCAGAGAGGAAACTTGAAGCTCAGAGAGACGTCCCACGGGTACAAGCTGGTAAGAGAGAAAAGACTCCTCATTGCTCCCACTCCGAAACTGAGCCCCAGGCCCTTCCCACACATGCAGGGCAGAAGGGCAAGACCTAGGAAGGTGCAAGGCAGGCTTCAAGGATATTTTGTCTAAATTCTCTCCTACTTTCCCATTGCACAGGTGAGGAAATTGAGGTAGAAGAATAAGAATGCAAAGACACTGTTATGGAGTGAATGTTTGTATCTCTCCTAATTCATATATTGAAGCCTCAACCCCTCCCACAATGTGATGGCCCTTGGAGGCAGGTCTTTGAAAGGCGCTTAGGGTTAGATGGCGAACCGGAACCGACTCACAGGACCCTCAGAGTTTAGGACAGAACCAAAGCCCCTGAGGCTTTGCCCAAATGAACTAAAATCACCCCTCATCCCCCACCACTAGGGGTGCCAAATTAGGGGGGAAAATATGTGCAGTTAAATTTGATTTTCAGATAAACAATAAGTTTGAGCATAAATAGATCCCATGTAATACTTGAGACATACTTATACTAAAAAATAATTTATTGTTTATCTGAAATTCACATTTACCTGGGCATCAGTATTTTATCTGGCAACCCTATCATCTTACTGTTTAAATTATCCCAACCCCATAACAGCCCAATAATGTGGCCTTATGGGTGTTTCATTAATTAGTTTTACTTTAATGGGAATAAAAATAGTATCTCTGCCATAGAGTTATTATGAGGATTAAATAAATCCATATATGAAAAATAGTGCCTAAAAAATAGTGCTTAAAACAGTGCCTGGAACATGATATGGGTAATATAAATCCTAATTGTTGTTACATTATTATTATATATTTTTTAAACAATGTTTGGAAAGAACCCTTTTGGTAGAGGTGATAGGCAAGATCCTCAGCAATGAGGAGACTGCAGGATTCAGGACTCTTCCTACCCAGACAGGGGTCCCCCGAGCCAACATCCCTGCCTCCCCATTGCAAAGAGGAAGAAATTGAGCCCATCTGAAGCCCCTTGTCCTCTAAATGGGACACTGGGAGGCCACATGTCTGAGGCTGGTGGGTCCCAGTTCTTAGGAATGCTCCATAAAATTCGCAGGGCTGAGTGTTGCTGGGCCAGGCTCCAGGGAGCCGCTAGAGGGATGATTTGTCCTCCTTCACGCCCAACCTCTGGTGGCTCGGCAGCAGGTCTGAAAGCTCCTGGGAACAGCAGTCACAGCTGGGGTGGGGGTGGGCACTCCAGATGCCAAATTCCTAACAAATAACCATTTTCAGATCTTCCTATGGTGCCGGCACCAGCACTATGCACTTTCCCCACATTACCATCTCTCTTGCACAGTAGCCCCGGAAGGGGTCGTTGTGCAGTTTTCCAAAGTCAGCCGAGGCTCAGCAAGGTTAGGGAACTTACACCACAGAGCTTTTAGACGCAGAGCCAGGACTTAAAATCAGGACTCTTTGGGTCTGGCCCTCGGACAATGCCCATGAGCTGGAAGGAGGGGGGCTGGAGGGCTGCCGGGAGGCTCAGCTGGGCCCCCAACATTCTCAGGTCAGGAAGGCCAGCGTGCTGTTCAGGCAGCTGGACCTCTCTGATAGAACAAACCTCAAGTACCTATGGGGTGTCCTCCTCTGCAGCTGCTCCCGGCCCTGGCCCCTGTGCTCACCTGGGCTGACACTGATGTCTGCTTGTGGAAAGGCCTGTGCAGAGAGGAGGGTCAGGGTGGCCAAGGCCCACAGCTCCCACCAATGAATGCATCCTGGGCCCCAAGACATCCGCCTCTCAGCCTAAGTGGAAGTCTGGGTCCGGGTCTGGGTCTGGACTGCTCTCCTGAGCAGAGGCAGGGACTGCCAGGAGCTCGGGAGCAACTGGGTAGACCTCAGTCTCCTCCTCCTGCCCTCCCTTCTCTCTGCACCACTGGAGACAGCTCGGAGTGACAGCTTGAAGGTTGTCCTGGGTCAGCCCCCTTAGGACAGATAAGAGAAACAGCAGCCCTGCTCCTGAGCAACCGTGTAGCCCTGGGTGTGCAGGGCTACTTCTGAGACTCAGTTTCCTCTTCTGCAAGAAGGGGTAATGACAGAGCTCACATCCCAGCCTGCTGCAGGAGATAAAGCATCTCGGCCTCTTAGAGAAAATATGATCCAGAAGGTAAAAATACAAGTTACCATACAGTGCAGAGGTCTCTTTGGCTAAAGCCAGCTCATCTGTGGATGTGAGTTGTTTGGTCCATGTCATGTTTCAAAAATTTTAAAAAATTGCTGTCAAGGTATAAAATCAGGAGATTTTAGGAATAAGATCAGATTTCTGCCTTCTGTTGAAAATCTGAAGATCTGGTAAGATTTAGCCCTCATTTATACTGAGCCATGGGAACAATTGTGCAGAGCTGGGAAAGGGCGCCCCCTTCAGGCAGGGCCTGTGGCTCTGCTGGTCCCCTCCCAGTTGGCTAGGCCCCAGGGTTAGAAAAAACTCAGAGGAACGGTAGGTGGGTCAGCCCCCTTCAGTCTCTTGGAGGTTAAAGAAGGCTTGGGTAGACGGTACTTGGCAAGAAGAAGTGTCAACAAAGAGAAGCAATGTTATCATTAATAATAGTTTTAGTGTGTGATTTGCTCAGACTTACAAGCCTTAAATCCGCTGGTGTTTCATGGGGATTTCACTGCATTTATGGAGAATTCATATAGCTAAAAACCGGTGTTTTCCCTGCCCTGGCCGGTGTGGTTCAGTTGGTTGGAGTGTCCTCCTGTACGCGAAAAGGTCATAGGTTTGCCTGTCTTGTAGGTTCGGTCCTCGGTTGGCATGACTGAGAGAGGCAACTGATAGATATTTCTCTTTCTCTCTCCCCCTTCCTTTCTCTCTAGAATATGTGTGTGTGTGTGTGTGTGTATGTTAATCATGTAACACAAATTTTAGCGTCAGGTTTATATAAAGCAGTGCCTTAAATTAAAACAAACAAACAAAAAAAAACAACAGACCAGTTTTTCCCTGAGTTCGTGTGTCCTCAGGCAAGTCACTTTGGCTCTCTGAGCCTCAGTTTCCTCCTTTATAAAATAGAGCATGGTAACTGCACCAACCTCACAAAGATTAAATGAAATAATTTGTTTATAATAGTAGAGATGCTGGAGAGTAGTAGATGTTCAATAAATGATAGCATGTTTTGTTACAATTATCACTGATCCTGTGCAAGCCTTTTTCTGCCCCCACCCAACACTCCCGACCCTGCACTGCCCCCTTCCTTTCCTGAAACCCTCAGCCAGGTGCTTTGACACTTGGTGCACCGGGCATTCACAGGGGGGATTTGAAATACCCCAGTCACGTCTTTTCTCCCTGGGACTCTCACTGGTGTGCCTGCAAGAAATAACTTAACCTCTGCCCATGCAGGGCGCGTTGTTCTGCTGGCACTGGGGCTGAAAGCCTGCCTGGCAAGGCCTGACTCAGGCCCACAGCGCGGCTCAGGCCCCATTTCAGCAGGCGGCATGCCTCGTCACCAGTTGCCTCAAAACTTCATGCTGGTGCACATTTATTATTTATAAATGATAAACATTTATCCTAGAAATGATGTGCATGTGTTACCTACTGTACTAATATACTATGTTTGTTATAAAACACCTTTCCCCCAAACTGACATTTTTAAAAGTTGGTACAGCCCTGGCTGGTGTGGCTCAGTGGATTGAGTCCTGGCCTGCGAACCAAAGGGTCACTGGTTCAATTCCCAGTCAGGGCATACACCTGGGTTGCAGGCCAGGTCCCCAGGAGGGGATGCGCAAGAGGCAACCACACACTGATGTTTCTCTCCCTCTCCTTCTCCCCGCATCCCCATTCTAAATACATACATATATATATATATGAACAGATAAATAAAAGTTGGTACAAAATATAAATAGACAAGAAAGTTTGGACATTCTCTCCTCACTCCCCATCAGCTGTTGTGCTCTACTTTGGGGGCCCTGCTATCATGGAACTCACTCTCTGAGTGTGAACAAACTAGGTGGGAGAAGGCGGGTAGTCAGACAGACAGGCTGCTGGAAGTCTTTTTGAAACATGAAGAATCCTTTGATTTGGCAAATAAACCTCCTAAATGATCAGTGTTGATGTGCAATAGCTGAAGGTTTGGTGAATGGGTTCCTCTCTAGATGGAAACACAAAGAACTTGTTACATGCTCAACTGCAAGTGTCTGTGGACCAGCAGCATCAGCATCGCCCCAGAGCAAGTTAAACACGCATGCTCTTAAGCCCCAAACCAGACCTGCTCAATCAGAAGGATCTGCTGTGTGACTAGGTCCCAGGGGGTTGTAGCTGCGTTAATGTTTACAAAGATTTGCTCTAGACAGGGAGAGGCAAGCTTTTTAAAGATACTCTATTTTTTAATCCTCATCCAATAATACTTTTTATTATTGATTTTAAAGGTAGGAGAAGGCAGGGAAGGGAGACAGACAGACAGACAGACATCAATGTAAGAGAGACACATCTATTGGTTGCTTCCCATATGCTCCCTGACCAGGAATCAAACCCACAACCTAGGTATGTGCTCTGACTGGGAATCAAATCCTCAGTCTGTTTGTATATGGGACAATGCTCCAACCAACTGAGCCACCTGGCCAGAGTTAAATTCTATTTTTTAATAAAATTGTATATATTTAAGGTGTACAACAGGATTTGTTATACATGTACATAGTGAAATGATGCCACAGTCAAACCAATTAACATGTCATCTCTTCATGTGGTTACCCTTCTTTTGTAATGAGAGCACCTGAAATCTACTCTTAGCAAATTGCTAGTATTCAATATGGTGTTATTAACTATAGTCACCTGCTGTACATTAGATATCTAGAACTTATCATATATAACTGTAACTTATCATATATAACTTAAACTTCTTCTGTAAAGAGCCAGACAGTAAATATTTTAGGCTTTGCAAGCCTTACGGTCTCAGTCACAACTATTCAACTTGGCCAGAGCCTACAGGAATGGGCCTGACTGCGTTCCAATAAAACTTTATTTACAAAAATAAGCAGGATTTGGCCCATGAGCCATAATTTGCCAACCCCTGCTTTAGATCTCAAATTTACTGGCCAGAAAGTAGACCATTTTTTCAGCATATATTTTCTGGCTTCCTAAAATTGTATTTATCATGTGATGGCATTACCTGCCCTTCCCCATTCCACACACACACGCACGCACACACACTTAATCACATATGCACTGTACTAATGGTGGTCTGAGGTTCAATTTCCTCCCCTTCCTTCCTTCCTGTCTTTTCTTTCTTTCTCTTTATTTTTTTCTTTTTCTCTTCTTTCTTTCTTTCTTCCTTCTTTCTTTCATCTATCTTTCATCTCCTTTAATTTCTTAGCTTTTAAAAAATGTTTTCTATTTATTAATAAAACAAAGTCCCCTGCCTCTCACCACCATTATAAAACAATAGAGGCTAGTTCATTCATGGCTTTCAACTCTGGCAGATCTGTGTTCAAATCCAGACCTGCTACTGTGTGACCACACACTGATAATTTTATCCCTTTAAGCCTCAGTTTCCTCATCTGCAAAATGGGAACAAACCAATACTTCCCTCACACAAGTACTTAGAACAATGCCTGACACATGATGAGCGCTCAGATCACTATTGGACCCGCAAAAATCCTGCATAGGATGGTATGACACTGAGTAGCAAAACAAATTCCTGAAGGATAACCCTGCCAACCTTTAGGACAATGCATTCCAGTCTTCTTTCTTAGGCATACATTTTTAGTTTTTACACAGTGGCGATCATTCCTGAGTTACTTTAAACAGTATTTTTTTTAACATGGAAAAGAACAAGTATCCCACTGGCCATGGAAGACAGTCCACACAGAAAGAAGAATCTTTTCTCTGTCCCTTGCAGTGATGCCCAGCTTTCTGGGAGTGAAATGTCAGTGCCCAGAAGAGCTGTTTGTGGTGCCCTGGGGACCATCATGTCTGAGCAGGGCTGGGCAGAGGTCATAGTTTTTGTCAAGTCCCAGGGGGTGGCCTGGAATCCTGAGGGGTCTGGAGTCCCTAGAGATGAGAGGGCCCAGGGACTGGCCCTGGGAGAATAGACAAGGCTTTAGGACTTCACACCACCACTCCTATCCCGCCTCCTCCTTTGAACTGAGGTCCCAGCACCCCCAAAACGGTATGTAGGTGGCCTGTGCATCTCCTTTCCCATCTCCTAGATGATGAGGAGGAGGGATGTTAACTAAAACGAGTGGGAAGCCCACAAAAAAGCACCTTGGGCCCAGGTTTCTATAGAAACCAAGTCACTCTCACTTTTCAATGCATTTCCCTGTTTCCTGACAGACTCTAGCCTAGGAGATGTGGACACCTCTGACATCTATGCTACTCGTCCTGTTAGTCAGCCAGCAACACTGCCTGATGTGTGCTGAGTGGGAGTAGCCTTCGAGTGCTGTGTGTTAAGACTTTGCAAACACGATTGTGGCTAATTCTCATGTCAACCATCAATGGTATGGGGTAAGAATGGTTATTCACACCAGCTCTGGATTAGTGACCTAGGGCTGCCACAGCGAAATACCAGACTGGGTGTCTTTAAAAACAGAAATTCATTCTCTCAGTTTCAGAGGTCAGAAGTCCAAAATCAAGGCATCAGCAGAGTTGGTCCCTTCTGAGGGCCATGAGAGAAGGGGCTGTTCCAGGTCATTCTCCTTGGCTTGTTGATGGTCATCTTCTCCCTGTATCTCTTCACGTCATCTTCCCTGTGTGTGTCTGTTGGTGCCTGTGTCCTAATTTCCCATTTTTATAAGGACACCAGTCG